CCCCAAAAAAAAAATTGCCAACACCAAAGCGAGTCTGTAAATATTTGATCACCTAATTCACGAGCACATCTTTGATGATCTCTATCTCCGCATCAGGTTTGACGCGACAAGACAAATACGCAGTCTAGAAAACAAATACAACGAAAAAGTCGATTCTGGTGAGTTACTTCCCAGCATGTCTGCCAAAGTGGCTCATTGGTACACCCCAATATTAGCAATGACAGCAGATGTAATTCAAGCAACAAATGAAGAGTGCATGAAGTGTGGGATGGATGATTATGTATCAAAACCGTTTGAAGAAGGACAACTTTATTCAGCAGTGGCACGCTTCTTTGAGTCAGGTTGATTAGGACATTGTTAACCGTGCAGCGACATCTTTTGAGGTCCAGTCTGATGGTTTAGTTAACTTGTTTCCGGGATAAAGGGCCTAAGTTATTTGGATATCTAACGAATTCCTCTGTTGGTAGCGGAGGACGGAGCTTTGGCCAGTCAGATGTCTGACAGCCGATTCCCACTGTTGCTGCTGGATGATTTAGCAGCTCATCCGAAAAACGTCTACTCTTCCCTTTTGTGGTAACTACCTGCCTCTTTATCAAATAGATGAACTTTCTTCCTTTGCATCTTAAACATATCAAATGAAATGTTTTCTTCCTTAGTGAAGCTTTTCTACTTCATAAAGATTGATTTGTAGACCTTTATATTGAAGTAAGCATCTGTTTAGGACCCCATTCCTTTATAGATTTGTTATGCAAAAACTTTCAACTCTGGAAATGCATGAAAAAAAGACAGGAATTTGATGGTGTGCTTGTATGCATATTTCGGTGATACTTACTCGACCCATGCACATGTACTGATGTCCATTCATTTGCAGGAATGATGGCTAACAACCACTAGGTACGGAAAATAATGCATGGATACTCCTGGACTGCAACCAATCGCTGACGAGGACTATCCCACATGAAGGCAATAATAGAAGAAACTTTATTCTGCATATGTATATTACACCTTTTTTCTGTGAAGTTCCTGTCAATTGAAGCCAGTTTGCTAACTCCGTTGAAGCAGGTTCGTGCCAAAATGCTCATGTTCATTTATAGGTCCCGAGATGTATCCTGTATTTCGGGTGATCTCATAGAAAAAGAAGTATGTAAATAGCGTAGACATGAGAGTGCAGTATAGTTGGTTTTTTCATTTTGAACCATTTTTTCCTTTAATTTCACTTGAGTAGGGGTTGAGTTTAGGAAGTTAACTGTGGGTATTATGAGATCAGGTTAGAATAGGCTCTACAATGAAAATTCTTTGTTGATGATTAGGTTTTTCTTCTTGTATAAGTGTTTCTGTAGTGAGTCAAGTATAGTTAAAGCTATAGATTGTGTAATATTCTGTAAATAAAGGTGCTGAAAATAGGTTGAGCTTGGTGTTGTAAGTGATATAGTTTATACTGTTGAATACTGAAATGTAACCATATCTTTTGGTGTGAATATGAATTCTTTGCATTGTAAGAGCCAGTACAGATTTGCTTTGGCTCAACAGCAGAAGTACTATAGCAGGAGATATGTGGTAGCTGGGCGCACGTCACGAGTTCAAATCATGTCGTGCATCAAGTCAGGTATTATTTAAGAAAAAATGACACTGTAAATATAATAGTCCAAAAAATATATAAAATTTATATATTTTTTGTATATATATACATTCTGTATGTTATATACAAAAAATATGCAAATTTGATACACTTTTTGGCTACTAGATGTAAATAGTTTTTGGCGCGGGCTAAAAGTGATAATAACTCGGTATTTAAGTGGTAAAAATATAAAGGCAGGCTCATTATCCATGCTATATACTTTTGATTATATAACATGGGATAAAGGAATTAGTCTAAAAATCATTTGGAAGAAAGTTTATTAAAAACTTACGATAAAGTTGTCTCTGTATAATTTTATAAGTAACGGGTTCGAATCATAAATATAGCGACTAAAGTTTGAACTAAGATAAGATGTTTACATCACACTTTCCAATTTAGCCCTTCGTAAACGTGATATATTTTGTGCAGTGGACTGCCTTTTAATGATGCTCAAACACCAAGTAGAACTGGGGAGAGTCGGATCAAGAATTTTAAGTTTATGGGTTCCTAAAGAATCTGAAGTTAATATATAATATTAACTGCATTAACGAAGTGGGTCCCAAGTTATATATTCTTAGGCATTTAATGAATTTTTCAATACAAATACCTACTTCCGGGTTCACGAGAACCATAGTTATTATGCTGGATAATCCATGTGACAGTACAAGTCTTAATTCTTTCTCAAAGAAAATAGAACTTCTCCGTCCTAATTTACGTAACAAAATTTAAAATAAAAAAACAAAAAAAAATCTAAAAGTAAATGATTTCTAAATTTGAGATGAGCAATCAACAATTTCCCAGCTACCGGCTATGCACGTTACCGGTAACATCAGGGTTACTTTACTTCTAATTAGTATACATATCTACGCGATGCGCGAATAATATTCAAAAAATAAACGGCAAAAAATATTATAAGGAAAAAAATAGTAAAAGACATATGATACTTCTTTTAGTTAGTTTTGTCTTACCATTCAAAAAACTAATTTTACATATCGCACTGATTTTAAGATGGAACTTTGTCTATACAAAAATGGAAAAAAATTTGCAATCGAATAGATAGTTTTTTTTTAAGTAATATGCATGTATGAAAAATAAATTATATATCAATGAAATTATAAAAGTATAAATATATTTAGTAGAATTAGGACCAAGTTAAACTGCATATTTTACTATCAAGGTGTAAGGGATAATAATGCTACATATGTATAACATAGTAATAGCACCAATGTAGTGCCACTGCATCAATAATCCAATTCAATCAAATGTTCGAAAGAAAGGCATAAATGCAAAAAAAGTGAAAGAAAGTTGGGAAAAAGTTCATTATCCCATGTACTATTGTAAATAGTATATGTTTGTCCTCTGTTTCACTTTACATCCAAAACTCACCCTACCGTTAACAAAGTAAGTGGAAGTGCCCCTAACTCTAACGGATGACCAATGTGGCAGCTGACCCACTTCATTTTTTCCATGTCAGATGCCAAGTCACTTATTTACTCAATTTATATAAAAAAAAAATATATCCCCCCAACCCCACCCCCTCCAGGTTCCCTACTTCTTTTTCTTCCATGAGTCCTTCATCTTTGCTTCAAATTTTTCAATCCAAACTAGGCCAAGTTTTTCATCAAACTGACTCAAGTTGCAACAATAACTTCTCGACATTAATATTCTCAACAAATTCTAGCTAACAATATGCTTAAACTTCAGCAAATTAGAATACCCATTTTATGTTCTCAAGCATTCTTATAAATCCTTCAATGCGATTTTTTTTTCTTCCAAATCTATAAACATCAGTGTTATTCTTCCCGTTTCAAGCTCCAATTTTTATTTTTTTCACTCGATTTTAGTAGGAAACAAGCAAGAATTTTAGATTCTTAGTCTTTTTTCAACTTCAAATTTCGGCAACCTAAAAAATGGAGTACAAATTTGTTCTTCACTTAAATCCATAAAATTAATGTTTGATTTACGATTTTAAGCTCCAAAAAATAACACTCAGCTGATTTCCTCCATATATAATCAACAAATCGAATTGTCAACTTCAATTTTTCGACACCCAAAGAACACACCATAGTGGGTTTCGAGATTCTCACCACTGAATTTTTAAACTTGAAACAGAGTTGAGTGATAGCACTAGTGAATCCAACAACTTCATAAAGGGTCACACCAAATCATAGGCCAGAGATGGAGAAACGGTGAAAGTGTGATGTAACGACCCAACTTGTCATTTTAAGAATTTACGCCCCGTTCAGCGACTTAAGGCCCCGAGCAATTTCGTAATACGTATTATGACTTGCGTATGCGGTCGAGTTAGGTTTTTGGAAGGTTCGGAATTAGATTGGAAGAACAATCCTTATTTTTGAAGCTTAAATGAAAAGAGTTGACCGGAGTTTGACTTTTGAGAAAACGACTCAGAATAGGATTTTGATGATATCAATAGTTTCGTATGGTGATTTCAGACTTAGGCGTATGTCCGGATTTGGATTTAGAAGTCCATAGGACAATTTGACGCATTTTGGCGAAAGTTGAAAAATGAAAGATTTTTAGAAAGTTTGACCGGGAGTTGACTTTATTGATATCGGGGTCGAAATTCGATTCCATAAATTGAAACACCTCCATTATTTCATTTAAGACTTGTGTGCAAAATTTGAAGTCATTCCGGATTGATTTGATACGTTTCAGCGTAAATTACAGAATTTGGAAAATTCATAAACTCATGATTCGATTCGAGGCGCGATTCATAATTTCGACGTTGTTTGATGTGATTTGAGGTCTCGAGCAGGTCCGCGTTATGTTATGGGACTTGTTGGTATGTTAGGACGGGGTCCCGAGGGGCTCGGGTGAGTTTCGGGGTGGTTTCGGACAATTTCTAGGCCATTTTTAGTTACTGGTTTTTGGCCACAGAGGTATGCATCGCGATCGCGGACAAACGGTCGTGATCGCAGAGAGCAATTTTGCTGTTTGGACACTGTGAATTGTGATCGCGGAAGCCTTTTTGCGATCGCGTATAGGAAAATTCTGTTGCACTGACCTGATTTTGGAAGCTTATATCTCGCAATCTATAAGAAATTTGGAGATGATCTAAAAATAAAAGTTGTAGCCCTTTATGTCTATTGTTCAGCAAATCAAATCGTTTAGTATTTGGAGTTGTGTACATAAGGTTATAATGAATATACTACAGGCTGTCTGGGAAGAGTTTGGAAATCGCGAAGAAGAAATTGTTGTTGCATAGGGCTAACTTTGGAAGCTTATATCTCGAAAGCTATAAGGAATTGGGAGATGAGAAAAACATAAAAGTTGTAGTCCTTGATGTTTAGTTTTCAAAAAGTCAAACAATTTGTCATTTGGAGTTTTGTACAAAAAGTTAAGACCATTATACTAGAGGCTGTATGGAAGAGTTGGGTAGTTTGTGCTTCGCGATCGCGAAGAGCAAATTTTGAGCTGGAAAATTTTGTGCTTCGCGATCGCGAAGAGCAAATTTTGAGCTGGAAAATTTTGTGCTTCGCGATCGCGAAGAGTAAATGCCTAGACAGAAGCTATATTTCGAGGTTTAGGCTATTTTAACATATTTAGAGCTATAAAGCTCGGATTGAAGCAATATTTTAGGCGATTTTTGAGAGATTTGCAAGGGAAACATCGGGGTAAGAGTTCTTAACTCAATTTTGGTTAAATTACCCGAATCTATTATTGTTTTTATCATTAAATTAGTGTTTTGGGTTGAAAATGGTAGAAATTTTATAGACTTTAAATTGAGAATTTGGAGGTCGATTCATTATCGGAATGTGATAAAATTGGTATGGTTGAACTCGTATCGGAATGAGTGTTCGGATTTCGTAAAAATTCTGTCGGGTTTCGAGAGGCGGGTCCTGCGTTGACTTTTGGCTGACTTTTTAATGTGAATTTTTAAGACGACGTTTTATTATCCGGAATTATTTCCGATTAATTTTAATAAAGTTATATAATTTATTTGGCTAGATTTGAGCCGTCCGGAGGTCATTTCACGCAAGAAGGCTATTTTGGAATATCGGCCTAACTTCAAAAAGGTAAGTATCTTGCCTAACCTTGAGTGGGTAAAATTACCCCTTAGGCATTGAGTCTTATGTGAAAATTGTGTAATTGAAAACCATGTACGCGAGGTGACGAATATGTACTTGGTTTATATGTGCAAATTACATTGGTTGAAATTCGTAGACGCCCTTATGTATTAAATTGGAAAATTGTTGGAACATAGTAAATCCTTGTTTGTTGAATTTGTTTTTATATGATAATTTGGTGTGATTGCCACCTTGATTTTTATGTGGATCACGTATTTTGTTGAGTTGATATTTCCTGGAGATAATTTCATTATGGATTATTAATTTATAAATAATTTATTAAATAAATTTAAAATGAGGAATTAATCTATTTGTCAAAATTTTGGATTAAAGAAGGTGGTGTTATTGACGAATTACTTTCCAGTTCATGTTGTTGAAATTTGTATTGAGTTATAAAGGTCGTAAATCATATTGAGGCAAAGTGTTAAATTGTGAAATATTATTTTGTTGTTGTTCACTCCCAGATATCTTATTGTGAAAAATAATGTATTGTTGATTTCTGTGGCAAATTGTAATATTTAAGCACTTGAGGTGCAATTTGTGATATGTTTTGATATTTGAGCACTTGATGTGCAATTTGTGATATGTTGTAATATTTGAGCACTTGAGGTGCAATTTGTGATATGTTGTGATATTTGAGGTGCAAGTTGTGTTATGCTATGATAATCGGGCACTTGAGGTGCGAATTGTGATATATTGTGATATTGATACGCATGCGGTGGTATAAGGTCTAGGTGTTGAAACGCATGCGGTGAGATAAGTGGGGGATTGATACGCGTGGCTAGTAGGGGAACTACTAAAAGCCACGCGGTGTGATAAGAGTTGCTAAAACACGGATTGCTATTTCGGAAAAAATTATTTCTAAAAACTAAATGTGAAGGCTCCCGCAGTGATATAAGGAAAGATTAAAATTTATTTATGATTTAGGATTATGAGGCGGTACCTCGGGAGTGCCCTTTTTGTTGATATTTCTCTATGGCTGTACTTGCCTTTGGTTATTTTATTTTTTCGTGATATGTAAATTCTTGTGTTCTGCCGTGATGTATTATTTGATTTTATTATGTGTTTTGTATTACTTGTTGTATTGTGTTGGCTTTGGCTCTTCGTACGAGATTTTGAGGATTTGTGTTTCTGGTTTTTACTGGTTTTCGACGTTTGAGTTGTTTTGAATAAAAGAAATTGCTATTATGTTTTAATTTAATAAATTTTACATCCAAATCAGTAGCTATCAGATGCTTCATTTTAATTGAAATGTCATTTTCTTCACCCAAACGAGTTCAAAAATAAACTCATTTCTTTGTTGATTTCTTACTTGGTTTAAAAATTATAAGCTTACTTTATTGAAAATAAATTGATCATGTGGATCTTATATACATTGATATTTTAGTACGTGAGTTGTCTGTGCGGTTGTAATAGAGATATGGGCACAAGGTGCCGTGAAAATATGAAAGTGGGCTGAGACCCGTATTTTATGATTATGAAATGAGGTGTCACATAGTGACTTTTATTTGAAAGAATTATATTCGAAAGATTTTTATTTGAAGAACTTATATGTGAAAGATTTATATTTGAAGGACTTACATTTGAAAGATGTATATTTTGAAGGACTTGATTAATTGGTTATACTTGTGTTCATTATTCGCTTGAGCAATATTTATGGTGTTCTTGCTGCCTTGCTGTTTATATCACTAGTTGATTATTGTCGCTATAACTGCTATTTGTCTTTCTATTATTTTGTACTTTATATTGCACAGGTTATTTGACTAGTGAATATCTTGACTTTACCTCGTCACTACTCCACCGAGGTTAGTCTTGATACTTACTGGGTACCGACTGTAGTGTACTCATACTACACTTCTGCACATTTTTGTGCAGAGATAGGTATTGGAGATATCGGACTCGGACAGAGGTTAGGGTGTGATCGTAAGGATTTAAGGTAGAGTTTCTTGGCCGTCGCAGTCCCTTGGAGTCTTTCCATTTTTATTGTACTGTCAACTCTTATCCGAACAATATTGTATACTCGATCCTTGAGATCATTGCATGTATTCAGTTAGAGTTCGTGACTCAGTATTATCAGTCATGTGAAGTTTTTATATTTATTTCCGCTTTTGGTTTCAGCACTTGTATTAAATTATATGTTTAAAAAAAATGGCTCGAAATGTAATTGTAATTGGTTTACCTAGTCTTAGAGACTAAGTGCCACCACGACGCCTGTGGTGGAATTTTGGGTCGTGAGATGTGAGCGACACCAAATCATGGTCAATCGCAAGCAATCGACGAAGCATACCAATTGTGACACCAAATCACGGTTAATTAACAAGCAATCGACGAAGCATACCAATTTCACAACAGAAAAATCACAGCAGTAGGCTAACGAGCGACGTCCAAAACAACAGGGTTGTCGGAAACTTAGCAGTCACTGGAGTTCGCATATTCCGTCCAGATTAAGAACTTATCTCGACAATCCCATAAGTTCTTCTTTTTCAGACCAATGACTCATGAACCAAGATCACTTTTTTTTGCTTTTTTACATGTCAAGATGTTCTCACTGACCTTGTTGCTTAACTTTTTGTTTTCTTGCTTCGACTTCTATGGCTTTTGACAGCGTCTCGATCTTCTTAGTTAGTGATTCCATAAGTTCTTCTTTTTCAGATCGAAGTTCGAGTATTCAGATATGTTTTAATTTTTTTTAATTGAGTAAATAAGTGACTTGACAACTGACATGGAAAAAATGGAATGGATCAGCTGTCACATTGGTCATCCGTTAGGGTTAGGGTTAGGGGTAGTTCCACTTACTTGACGGTAGGTCACACAGTGAAGGCGAAACATCAAGTTTGTTCTGCGTCAGCCTTTGTAAGTAACAGATGAAAATAAGTAAACTTTAGCAACCACGATTTCCAAAATTTTCAGAATAAACAAAATAGAGATCAATATATATAATCTCAAATCTTACCTTTTGAATGCATGTTCTACCATGGCAACTACCTATATGAATCGAAATTTGAGAAAGCAGCTACAATGGTAGATTCACTTTTCTCCTTTCACTTGCTGGAACCCAACAATAACTCCATACATGAATATCAAAGTCAAACCCTAACTCTAATCGTGAACCCAACTCTGTAACTTTCATTAAATGGAACAGGATAGATACAAAATGATGGGGTAAAGTTTTTGTCAATAAACTGAATCTGATAACTTTCACAAAAAGAATTTCCAAAACGTGCCTTGGATTATGCTGTACGGTTACCGAATTTTACTTTCACGATATGCAGTTAAATAAAAAAACTAATGAAAAAAAAACGTGGGAGTCCATTTTCTGGTATTGGAGTAATTTTAATTTTTTACTGTTCAATTTTCAAAAATATCGGTGGAACGTTAAATTCTTTAAAATTTTGTAAATTTTTTTTGAATCTCTAAATTTATCGGAGTTCTGTCTTAAAATTTTATTGTGACACTTGTCAAAATAACATCATAGATTTGCTTCGTCCTTTTATATATTATATATTAATAGATTCACTCATTTCCTAGCCCCAAAAATCTCACATATACAATCACTCAACATTTCTGTAAGCTGGAAAAAAATGTCGGACTATCTTCCGAAGGATGTTCTTGTAGAAATTCTATCAAAACTACCTGTAAAATCTCTAATTCACTGCACAACCGTATGCAAATCATGGTATTCGACAATCACAAACCCTAATTTCATTTCCGTACATCACAACACCCAAATAATCAGCAACAGCAATCGCCAACCTTTATTATTCGTTCGGCACTACAACATGTTTGACAGAGTCGAACGTTACGCGTTACACTTCGACGATGAAGATGAAAATGATTCCTCGGATGTTGATTCGTTCGCTGAATATCTCGAGCTGAAATGTCCAGAAAAGAGTCGTAGTGAGTATTTAAGAATCGTCGGTTGCTGTAATGGTCTTATTTGCCTTTCTGATGATTATGATAAATATACGGATACAGTGGTTTTATGGAACCCTATAATTCGGAAACATTTGAAGTTGCCCAGGCCTAATTTAGGGTATAATGGACGTGGGTCTTGTATTTATGGGTTTGGATTTGATGTTGCGAAGAATGACTATAAAGTTGTTAGAGCTGTTTATAATAGTACTGCTACTGAGGATTATAGGTTGCAGTTTCCACCAACTATTGAGTTTCTTGATAAATTGAGGGCAGTTAAATTCTTGGTTCCACCTGGAATTGAGGTTTATTCTTTGAATAGTGGGGTTTGGAAGAGCATTTCTGATGTGTGTCCTTCGTATATTTTGCATCAGAATCATTCTGTTTCGGCTTATCTTAATGGCGCTGTTCATTGGATTGCATCGAATTCGAGTGATGATGATGGTGGTGGTGGTGGTGGTAATGGTGATAGTAGCAATAGCAATAACAATAACAGTAGTAGTAGTAGTAGCAGCAGCAGCAGCGGTGGTGGTAAAAATAAAGATGATAGCTTTATTGTAGCATTTAATGTTGGAACTGAAAATTTTAGTGAAATACGTTTGCCAGATAGTGTTGCTGAGAGAAATGTAATGAAATTGGATGTGATGGTTATGGGCACGTCACTCACGCTAGTTGAGTATGAAAAGTTTTGGCAGAGTGATTATTGCTGGATATGGGTGATGAAAGAATATGGCATGGTGAAGTCTCGGAGTAGACTTCATAATATTGATTTGAGAGGAGGTTTCAGGAATGTTGTAGGATTTAGGACTCACGGCGAGTTATTGATTTCTGCCAGAATGGTAGGAATGGTTTCATACAACCCCAAGAAGAGAAGCATAAGCTATCTTGGAGTCCATGGCACCAATCGCTCATTTCACGGTGAGCCTTTCTTCGAGAGCCTAGCTTTAGTCGGGAAAGAAGATAGATTCGTAGAGCAGGCAAATTCGACTACTGCTGTCGTTCAAGAAGTTGGTTCTGTACTGGATAGCGGTGAAGATGTTACGGAGGAACATACGTGATAGTTGATCCAGGTAAACTGTGGTCATAGTGATATCAAAGAGTAAAGTGACCTTAATGAAACATTTTTCTAGATTAATTGATCGTTTTAGAGGTGTTGTTCTTGCCATCTCATACAATGTGGACTCCTGTAAGCTGAGATTTATATGAAAATAATTATGTTTTCCTGTACATGTTAACGCTAATAGTTGTAATAAGGGTATTAGACAGTTCGTTGTATTTGTCATGGTTTTTAGGGATAGTCCCTACCTAAGAGGAAGGTAGTCTAGAAATTGGTCAATGGACATTTCTTCTTGTAAGATACGATGCTCAAAAAATTATATTCCCGCCATCCTATGTCTGCCAAATATTGGCATATTTGCTTCTTTCTTTGGTTGTGCAAATGGTTATGATATTATCTGGTGTATGCATATTTATTTCTTTATTTATTTATTAGGGTGAAATGATCTTTCAAGACTGAAAGGGACTTATATTTTGTGGTTCTACAGATCTACTTTGTATACGGAGAAGGTCGCATACTGGGGGAGCCTTTAAAAAGCTTGTAAGTCAATGGTTCATATAGTAAATTGACTAAATTCTACTTTTTGGTGACTTCACATCAAAAGGATTTCATGGCGGTTCTCATGTGGCTTCAAACAATTGTAGCTGGTCACATAAAGGACACTTCAGTTTTTAAATCTAAGGAGGCATGTTAGTGATCCAAAAAACTCCCGAGGTTCCTCCTGCTGCAACTTCACCCATCTACCTTTTCTGCCCCACTTCTCTAAGCATCATATGCCATGACCCCCTCTTCCCTGAAACTCCATTGCGGAACCTTTCTTCCTGATCCCCTCCAAGTACTGCTGTGTCCAATCCCTCCATTGTGTGTTAGGGTAAACTGAGCTGAAGAAACTGGTGGGAAGTTAGGGGAGATGTCGAGGGAAGCAGTATCGGCTGGATTACATGTCGTTCGGAAATTGGAGGAGTCCTGCGCAAAGAAGTGTACTGCTGCGTCCAAACCTCCATTGGGCGTTTGGGTAGACTGAGCTGAAGAAACTGGTGAGAAGTTAGGGGAGATGTCGAAGGAAGCAGTGTTGGGAGGATTACACGTCGTTCAGAAATTGGAGTAAGTGGGCAAAGAACTACTATCTCAGTTGAGATCTTCTATAAGTCTCTGGACTTCATAAGATGTAAGGAAATTCAAGACAAGTTGGGCAACTGCCTAATCAGTATCTTGACGAGCCAATGATATCCTTCTCCGCTTGGAGTTCTTGTTCATGTGTTATTATGTCTATGCTTGTTCTCCTTGATAATGGTCATCCTGTCTCCTGACATTGACATAAATCTTTCTCTCTGTCTCTCTATCATGTGTTGGCCACTCAAGGATGTAAACATTTTGTCTCATTTAGGCTACTGTTCTCAGGAATACTAGATTGTAGCAACACAACAGTTGGATGAAGATTTTATCGGAGAGGTTTACTGGTTCACGCCTTGGATTGTCAAGCGTCCTCATGTGATGCTAGCTTCTGGCATCGCCACCTGATCCAATGTTTCTATTTTCTTTTTATGACTAGTGAAATGTATTTGCATACTTGCTCAGTGTATATATCTAGGAAATTTAAGGGTTTTCTAATATATTTCTTGCAATGATGGGTCATGTAGGTCTTTTTGTTATTTATACGAAACAAAAGAATTCTCGGGCTACATGAATAACAGATTCTCACACCTCAAGCAGTGTTAAATGAGGAATATTCTGATGCAAGTTGTAATATATGTACTCATTGTCCAGCTAACTGTTGACGGGGACATGATTAGAATACCAATTCCCAGGCGGACAAAAATAACGCAATCACCTTGTCAGTTTGTGATGATTGATAATTGTATGCAAGTCTTGTCCCCTTATACCTGCAAAAGAGTCTTCATCTCTGAGTTTCTTACTTTGTTACTACTTAAGTATCTTCAGTTCTGATGCCTTGAGAGGATACCTAACAAAGGTTTCTGTGCTTTGTGAGTTCTGATTTTACTTTGTTCATGGACTCCAATCATGAAAGACAAAGGAAGCCGGCAGATGAGAGCAGAAATCTGATAGATAGTCTGCAAAATGAAATAGCACTTGACATAGTTTCAAGGCTTCCTATTTCATCTCTCATTCAGTTCAGGTTTGTATGCCAAACCTGGAACATGTTAACACATGATTCACGCCTTGTCGATCTGCACCTGTCTCGTGCATTGAAGATCAATCCATGTATCATCTTTAAGACTTACCATCCTCAAAAAGATCAGCTTTTCTTTGTTGAACTGTCTGATCATGATGATGATGAACGCACATTGAGAGAGATTCAGATTCCTTTTTCAACATCCATGGCTATATTTCAAATAGTAGGATCATGTAAAGGCCTGCTATGTCTATCTGGTGTCTATGACCATCAAGCTGTGTACATATACAATCCTTTCACCACAGAACACAAGAAGTTGCTACACTGTAATCATGCGGTTGAAGTGAATGAGGTGGTTTATGGTTTTGGATTTCATCCTGCTACTAACGAGTACAAGGTTATTAAAATAGGCTACTATCCTCATGTCTATTATGCAACTTGGTCTCCGGGAAATACACACGTTTATGATCTTCCACGATCAGAAGCTCATGTGTTCAGCCTAGGAAGCAATTCTTGGAGAAATTTAGGGGAATTACCTTACAAGCTTCATCATTCACCTGGGATTTTTGTCAGTGGAAGACTCCATTGGGTGACTAGATTTAACTGGCACCTTGATCGCCTTATCGTTTCCTTTGACCTATCTAATGATACATTTCAACAAGTTCCACGACCTGACTTCAATGTCAACTTATTTCATTGTAGTTATCATCTGGCTTCCCTCCGAGGGTGTCTTTGCGCGTGTTTATTAACCTCTAATGGAGACAACTTGGAAATTTGGATCATGGAAGAATATAACAAGAAAGAGTCTTGGGTGAAACAGTTCAATATTGGAGCTTCTACAATTGTTGGTCAAGATTTGTCACCCCAATCATATGACATTTGGAGGACTAGTTTGCAGAAGGGAACTGTTAAAGTGGTGTGCATACTTAAGAATGGTGACATCTTGCTAGATTGTCAAGGTGAGATTTTAATTGCCTATAGCATACATGAGAAAATTTTGAAGATCATAAGCATTTCTGGTATGCCCAAGTACTGTCAAGCAGTTGCTCATGTTGGAAGCCTTAATTGGATAGCTAACCCCACTTAGTTTGAAGTGGTAAAAAATGTCTCTGAATCCTTTTGCCAGAGAATTTTGTTGTGTGTCAACTGGCCATTCTTATCCTTTCTCTATGTATTATATGTTTCCTTAGCTTTTGGCTGTATGGACACATTGAAGAAATAAAGAAAACCATATTTTTCTTTTATCCTCTCTCAACTTTCATTAAGCTTTCCTTTGTTTAGCTTCTTTGTATTCCTGTGCTATCTTTGGTTTTAGCAGTTTCATTTTTTAACATAAATGCCTTATTAAACCTCCAAGAGGCTAAAACTCCTGAATTGGAAGAATGTGGAGTTCGATGGTTATGTTTATCCCAAATCGTAACAGAGCATAGACAGAGTAGCAACTAAAATATAATTACCTACCTACAAGGAAGGAAGAATCGGACTATAAAGTTCACCAGAAAAGGCAGTTTATGGTTTTATTTTATCTTTCATTTTTCTGTCCTTGGTGTCGTAGCAAATATGAGAAAATGGAGCAAGCTAAGATTTAAAATCAGTAGCTTAAACGATGTTCATTTTGACATTTACATTGCAATGCTTATCAAGATCTGCGCATTAGCTAAAATGGCTACACAAGTCGGATTCCTCTCTGATTCCTTTCAAATCACTCTCACAATTTCATTGCCCCTCAGTACTACCACAAGAAAATGTGCTAATTTTAATAGTCCCCTTGATGATATAGCACCTATCATCTTGTCCACCTCCAAATGAAAATCAGGATTACGATTGTTACGACCATCCCTGCATATTTGATCCATCGATCAGCACGATTCCTCTTCTCAATGAGTCTCATAACAGAATTTGATAGCCCCAAAGTGTTAAGCACATCCAGCGCTTTACGTTGAGCTCTCTGCAATAATGTTTAACAAAATGACCAACAGCTTAACCATAATGCTCGAGACTGACACAAACTTTAGAAAGTAATAACAGCTATAGTGACAAAAATAGTGTTTTAACAAAAGTAATAACTAATGTTGACCATCTTATATCATATGCAACTTTTCCATATTTAGCAAAGGGGTATTCTGCGGCGGGGCTTTTGCATCTATACCCGGTTTTGGGGTCACAATTGAACCTATACCTACTTTGCAAAAAAGTTTGCAAGCGTACCCACTTTACGATCAACTTCAGACTTATCGGGCCTGAAGTTAAAAAAAATTAGTCTGAAGTGAAAAAATTGCACTTCAAATGCACTTAAGGCCAAATAGGTCTGAAGTGCAACCAATGGTTTCATGCACTTAAGACTAATAAGTCTGAAGTGAAAAATTGCACTTCAGATTCACTTAAGGCCAATAAGTCTGAAGTGAAAATTTGCACTTCAGATGCACTTAAGGCCAAAAAGTCTGAAGTGCAACAAACGTTTTCATTCACTTAAGGCCAATAAGTCTGAAGTGAAAATTTACACTTCAGATGCACTTAAGGTCAAATAGGTTTGAAGTATAACTAATGGTTTCATGTACTTAAGGCTAAAAAGTCTGAAGTGCAACAAACGTTTTCATTCACTTAAGGCCAATAAGTCTGAAGTGAAAAATTGCACTTCAGATGCACTTAAGGCCCAAAGGTCTGAAGTGCAACAAACATTTTGCTACACTTAAGGCCAATAAGTCTGAAGTGAAAATTTGCACTTCAGATGCACTTAACGCCAAATAGGTCTGAAGTGTAACCAATGATTTCATGCACTCAAGGCCAATAAGTCTGAAGTGAAAAATTGCACTTCAGATGCACTTAAGGCCCAAAGGTCTGAAGTGCAACAAACATTTTGCTACACTTAAGGCCAATAAGTCTGAAGTGAAAAATTGCACTTCAGATGCACTTAAGGCCCAAAGGTCTGAAGTGCAACAAACATTTTGCTACACTTAAGGCCAATAAGTCTGAAGTGAAAAATTGCAATTCAGATGCACTTAAGGCCAAAAGGTCTAAAGTGCAACAAACGCTTTGCTACACTTAAGGCCAACAAGTCTTAAGTGAAAAATTGCACTTCAGATGCACTTAAGGCCAAAAGGTTTGAAGTGCAACCAACGTTTTTATGCACTCAAGGCCAAATAAGCCTCAAGTGCAAATTGCCCAGAAACAGAAAATTGTTCTTCGAATTATAACAATTCAATATAGGATTTAATACCTAAATCTACTCCAAATGAGCTCAAATTTGAAGCATAACCTCCAAATATCATCAGGAACAAACTCCAATTATCAATTTGTCAAAACACCAATAAATCTAATGAACCCATTTTGCAATTAAGAAAAAGAAGAAGAAGAAACCCTAAGTAATAGTAAAAAATAAAGCGTCATAACAGCTCGCCATTGTAAAACATCATAAACAACATTAAAATATGTCCACAACCACCATATAAAATCATTGTCACCCGAAGAAGAAGAAGGAGGAGGAGAAGAAAACGAAGGAGAAGGAGAAAGAGGCCTGAAGTTGTTTAAAAAGTGGGTACAAGTTAAAACTTTTTTAAAAAGTGGGTATAGGTTAAATGGGGGCGACCAAATAGGGCGCCCCATGCAATTTTTACCTCTGCGGCCCTGTTGATTTAAAAAGCAAAGCTATGCGGCCCAAACTCAAATGAACAAATTTCCCCTTTCAACCAGGAATCCAGACCCAAAAGTTTTGGAAAATACTCTTGCAGCCAGAGCTTGAACAACAGAAACCTAAAACAAAGAGGAGCATTTAGCTCTCCTTACTTTACACTTTTGCTTTGCCACCACATTTCTTCTTTTTGCTATAAAGAGTCGGTACTAAGGAGCAAAACTCGATTAACCATCCCTTTTAATTATTTTCAAGTCCGGATAGAAAAAAATCTCTATATCATATTTCTGTTCAATCTCTAAATTCTTTTTTTATCGATCTCTAAATTCTATTAACAAAACATGGAGGAACAAGCTAATATACATCGACTTATTCACCGTCCTGTCTTTGAGCCACATATAGCTAGTGAAAAGTTATATAATTTGGAACAATAAGATAGCATAATGGCATCATCAAACAGGCATCATTTTCCCACTTTCCAAGCAAAAGAATCCCCAGCATGTTTCAGCATTTAAATCTCATATCAAGGAAGTAACAAACAAAACAAGTTTCTATGCTATACAGTATGTAAAGGAGTAGTCTCTGTTGAAAAGTACCTTCAAACGATCCCTTTGCTCACTATATTTAGACAGAATGGCCACACCTGTTGCCAACGTTTCTTCCATCATTCTTGATGACCTACGAGCAGATTGCATCGCCTGTGCTTCGTCATCGAAAATCCTCAGAACATGGGATGAATCACCATTCTAAAACAATAAATAATCCATTAGAAGGAAACATCAGAGTATCATAATAAAATTTTATAACACCTGTAAGAAAACAATGCCATACAGCTCTCCCTATCAGTTCTGCTCTTTCCCGGGCTTCTTGCATACGCCGCTGATGTCTTAAATTGTATTTATCCAAACTAGCTTTCAAAGAGTCAGCTTCTTCAGCCACTTGTTCCACTTTTCTGCACAAGGAAGACATAAATACAGCATTGAGCATGCACTGAAGAAGCTCCAAAAAAGCATGACCTTCTGTTTACTTCCAGACTATACAGTCAACTTAATCAGCCACTCCTTAATTCAGCAAACAGGCACATCAATTATTGCAAGCTAATATACATCGACTTATTCACCATCCCGACAAAGCGCGCTTAAGCCCTGAAGCGAGGCTCAAAACATGTTGAGCGCTTCGCCTCGCTTAGCAGGCACTTCAGTGTTGTCATCAAGGCTCTAAGACATACTTTTCCTTGCCAATGAGCGTAATCCTGAAGAGGGACACTAAACAATTGATATTTTACTTTATCATAAATTTTCTTCAATTTCTTTGTCCATATATTTGGTATTCATGCTTATAGATATTAGTCGTGGACTACACATACATATTTGTTATTTTTCTCCATTTTCGCCTTTTTTCATTAAAACCCACACTTTATTTGTGCTTTGCGCTTAAAGCCCTAACAGACGTTAGAGCTTTTTTGCGTTTTTCGCCTTTAATAACACTGCTTCTGGACCATTTTCGCATAACTCCGTTATATGCATATATAGCTTCTCTTATGTCATCCTAGAAGAGCTATTCCAACAATCCAGTGACTTGACTTCTTCTTTTATTTGGATGAAATTAACCTCTCTTTTTTTTTTTCAAGGAGTGGCCTGCAACTAATTTAATCGTAGCCAAAGAGCTTTGTAAACCTAGACTAACATAGAATATCCAAAGTCACCCATCTAAATCTGCAGCCATCCTTCGAAAGGCGCTAACTGGGTGGATACACATTCTTCCAATTCATTTAGTTCAACGGCACCTAAAAGGATGAAAAGCAGTGGGGGACTGATTAATTTTCTCAAGTCCCTTCAAAGTGGCTTTTCAGTTCTTTATCTAGGAAAATGATTTTTTATACTTGAATCACCAAATTATACAAAAGTAGACACCAAGCGAAGTTGTTCACTGAACATTACAAAAAGGAACCTATATGAGATTTTAAGCCTCATTTATTAAGACAAAAACACAGTAACTCAGGCATTGTAGACTACATTTCTAATGTCAAACCTATTCATATTCCACATTAAAAAGTGTACCTCATCAACTGAAAGGACAACCAAATAACCCGGGCGATGCAGACTAACAACTGTAAAGTGAAATTCAGCATTTAAAGAAAAGGAAGAGTTGGAGAATATGAAGTTATGTCAGCTTAAAAATAATTAAGATTCAGCTCCTCTGTAAGCCTCTTTACCAGTTTCCCTCAGTTAGGACTCAAATTTTACATGGGAAATGATCTTAACTAGAGTTTGAAGCCGTAAAAAAACAGCTTCCAAATTTAAACAAACTCAAACGGTGAAACAAATAACTTCGGTTAGCTCTATCTACTCTTACAATAAAGACGAAACCTAATACTTGGAAGGAGAACAACAACAACAACAACATACCCAGTATATTCCAACATGTGGGGTCTGGGGAGGGCAGTGTGTACGCAGACCTTACCCCTACACCTAGCGAAGCTAGAGTATACTTAGAAGGAGAACAAAAGGGAAAAAACAGAAGCAAAAATTCGAGGGAGAAAACAAAAGAGAAAAAATTAGAGCAGCAAAATGAGTAGAATACTTTATTTTCATATTCTTAACTAAGTTGAAGGATTAACCCGAAAGAATGTCAAAGTACAAGCTAAAATAGCTTAGATCAAATAGTAACCAAGTGTCTAAATTCTATGAATTCATCTATTCACAACTCTTAGATCATTTGGTTTCCTTTATCCATAATTTAGTTAGCTGAATTTTCAAGGCGGTTCTGAGCCTTAACTCTGTTATGAGAAGAGAAAAAAATTGCTACAAGTGTCATAACCTTTTTATGTTTTCAGTTTAAATCTACATATTGCTAAAGAAAGCGGTAAGATCATTCCATTCAACAATTCTCATCCTCTCCTCCTCGTTTCATCCAGCTGCCATAAATTTGTTGGGATTCTTTGTCATTCGTTTCTCAGTTTTGACCATATTTACTCCATTTGGCATTACATATAGAACTTGCATTGCTGTATCTCTCAAATTAAATTTTCTCCTTAACTGACGCTTTACCTTGGGATCTCAATCCAAATGCTTTAATTTGATCACAAAATACCTAGTCTTCTGGCACTAAACTTTTACACAATACATCCACAATGCACTGGATTTTCCGATCTGATAATAAGATCTTATAAGTATTCAACAAGCTAGATTTTCAAACATTTTCACCTTAGTCGAAGAAATCAACCACACTAGACCATAAATCGCACAAACGTCGAACATCAAATTCAACTTATCAATCAACTGCGTTTCAATCCCAACCTAGTTGTATCAGCAATATAAATCCTCGTATACATTCCGCTCATATCATTCCATTACTACATAATTTGTATTTTTAAGCAAACCAATAATCACAATATCGGAGATCAAAATTCAACGATAAAGTATTAAAATAAAGGCGTACCTTTTCCAGAGATCACGCTGGGATTTGGCAGGTATAGATCGCCAGAGAAGTTCCATTTCGGAGCAAAGAGACTGGATCTGAGCGATATCTTTCCTTACGGCGTCAAATGATTGTTCCGAAGGATCGACTATAGCGGTGCTCGAAGATGACGATGGGATGGAAGATGAAGAAGAAGAAGAAGAAGTGTACTCGAAACGCTCGAGCTTCTCTAAACCATCTCGAGACTTGAGTAAGAGCCGCCTGGAGCTTTGGTAAAGTTCCGATAAACTTCCACCGCCGGCGACCGAATTTCCTTCTCCGATCCCAACCGCCATTGCCATGGTTCTCACGTGTCTTTTGAGAGCTTCAGCTTTTGATCGATGAGAATTTCGGTGTAAATTTAGAATATTATAGAAGAATACCCTTATGTATTTTTCGGTATACAAAATTAGGCCTTCACAAGGTGGTAATCTAATTTCGCACACAGTACTAATTATGCAGGTTATAATGCAAGAATTTTTAAATGCATAATTAATATTGAAGATATATTTAATTATTACTAGTATTATGATACGCACTATACTATTTCAAGTGGTAAAGACTTTTAAAAAAAACATAAAAATATTGTATTAAAATATTGTGCTTTAAGTTATAAAATAAAAGTGCATATTCCTGAAAATGATGAATATTGATCTCATAGGCATCACTTAATAAAGAAGAAACTGCCACAAGAAAAATTCCCAATCATCAGTCAATACATTTAACTAAAAGATTATTGCATATTATAATTTTATTGTATAATAAAATAGATATAAATTAGTATCATATTAAGTGGGGATGGTATCATACAGTCACGCTTGCTTTTAGCTCGTAGTTTCACTCTTACTTTTGCCTTACCTTCTATTATATTAGTAAAGGGCGAATGGGGGGCGTGTGCAATAGTTTTCTCACTTTCTCTCGATCGCTTCAATGCCTATAATTTGAGAGATTAGAGGAAATCCCTTTCTTGAATTCGAAGACGCAACACAAATAATGACTCTCTTCGCCGGAATATCAGCAGGTTAGACAACTCTCATTGTGAAATTTATATAAAAGATATCTTTCGTTCTCATCTTTGTAATTTTGATTCATTAGGCAATGGAATGGAAGTATCAGTTTGTTTATCTTCCTTTAATAAATAGTTAATATATGGTTAAATATATTTGCAATTATTGATTTCTCACTACATATAAAACATTGTTATATAATCTATCACTATCCTCTTACAGTTTAGTCTGTATAGCAAATTTAGGAAAGAAAATTTAATAATTGAGTGTGTCTTTTGACCGGATCTTTTATCAAGTTAAAACATGCCTAAAATAAACATGACATGCAGAATTAGAAAATTCCATGATCAATACAAAAATAAAATAAAAAAAACGCAAAGAATAGAAAAACGAAAAAGAAACAAAAAATACACATACTATCTTCACTCTAGTGCTTCAAAGAATCTGGAGAACATATAGACGTTATTAATGAATTAATAAACCTTAACAAATAGAGAATCAACCAACAAATAGATTCTATAATCAATACCTCTTTACATATCAATACTATGAAGACACAAAGATTCTATATGAAAGATACACAAGAGTTTAACATAGACAAAAAGATCAACTTTTACTTCATAACAAAGGAAAACTAAAGATTCCAAAAAGAAAAAGATCCAAACTTTAGATCAAGAACCAATTGATTAGTACTGATGTTTTGGTTGGAGGAAACCAACTTAACTTGCGATACCAGTACATGTAATAATTTTATATGCTAGACTTTGACGAGGACTCAACAATCGTATTTTTTTTCTAGTTGATACTACTTGATGGAAGTTATTGTTGTACTAAATTGTTGACAAAGGCAATATTTATGTAGAATTTTATTATTTTTGGTTAAGGATTTATTGTGCTGCCAAAAAAAAGACTCCAAAATGTCTAAACCTAAAAAAGTTATAAATATTAGGGAAATAATTAAATGTCTAATCCTAAATATTAGAAAAATAATTAAATATTTAATTCTAAGTATTAGAGAAATAAATAAATGACTATTTTATCTAGTGTAAAATCTATTTTTAATGGGTAAAAAAGGCAAACGACATTTCGCTAAGGGCCTTCGTGCTTTTAATAAAGTATAGATAAATATAGAATAGATATAGATATATAAATTAATTAATCGAAAAGGAAGATTTGATCTTTAAATCTTTGTATTATTAGTATAAGTATCCTTATAATCTTACTCCACATTTATCTCGCTTATAATAATACCTAAATGAAGGGCCGGATTCATAATGCAACATACGAGTTCATGTGAACTCAATATATGTATCCTCTATATTAAGAAATTTATTAAACACTATAAATATTTAATGGTGAATTCATAAACTTCATCTTGCAAGTATTATTTAATAATCAAACGTTGTACTAAATTTTGTTGTGATATTATTTTCCTTATGTGATCAACTAATTATTATATGGAAATTTTATGTTGGATATTAATTATTCCAAACTACCAACCAAACGACCCCTTAATTAAGCGCAAAATACAATTCATACGGAATTTAGGCATGCTTTCGAGAATCAAATAAAATACATAGTTATCTCAATCCACGGGTCAAACTAATACCAGGCAACAATACTTAGTTCAATTCATAGCATGAATCTAAACAAAAGTAGCTCGGAATCCTTTTCTCAACAAATCTCACAGCTACGCTCACAAGTCCCAAAGTAACATGGGTAATTACCTGACTCCGGAGGGACAAATCCATAATCCAAGCGTCGATCATTATATAAATAATGATCATTAATCAATTGTTCTGTGGTGGAACCCGATCCAAATCATAACCTCATCAATCCAATAATATCCGCTCAAGTGTCTGCAGTGCTAAAATCATCAACTTTCATCAATAACCACTTATTCACTCATGCATATGTGTAAGAAACAATATAATAAAGGGCACAACACGTGATAGTAAGAATGCGGAGAAAAAGCTCAAATGGCTACAATGGGTCACTTTGAATAGATGTTATTTTTACTTCTTTTTTTTTCTTTTACCTAAGCAATACTATCAAATATACGAATCACCATGATCACATCATCTCTTTTGCCTAATGAAAAACTCAAACAAGTCCCAAGCACTGAATTCACGGTCGAGTTAAACAACTGGATTAAATCGGATCGTATCACATACTTTAGTTTACCTTGCATTTATGTAATATTCTCATGTATTTGAACTCGTGACGCCTTTAGTAAGACAACGACGACAACTCCTACCATACGCAAGTATTAAATTAGGAGAATATCAAATCTCTTTCTTGTTGCTTCACTCTTCTTTATTTTGAATTTAATCCTCCGTATCTTAATTAGAATTTAGCCTAGTGCTTTTATCTGTTTAAGTAATACAATGAACAACTGAGATAACACATGCCCGTTTGTCCATCAGAAATTTTTCCTTTTTTTTCAAAAAAATAATAGTAATTCAAAAATGTGTTTGTCCATGAAATTTTGCAAGTTTTTTAAAAAAATTCGAAAATGAGTTTTTCAAAAACTACTTTTTCAAAAATTTCTCTTTCCCCACTCACAAATCTGTAATATTTTTTCAAGTGAAATGCATGTCCAAACATAATTTCAAATTTCAAATACAATTTTTCAACTTAACTCCAAATCTTATTTTTTTCCAAAAATTACAATTTTTATGTCAGACGCCTACTAAATCTTTGTAAGAATACAATTTTCACTCTTTTCTACTTGGTACAAAAACAGCAGAAGTGAAGATGTCTTGTTATTCATTTAGTCTTTTTATATGCTACCATGTTGAAGTTGGCAACTCTAGCTATCAATTGGAAAGCTGTGAGATTTTTAAAGTTTCAAAATTAGAATCTCTTCTAATAAAATATTAAAACAACTTTAGTAAAAAACAAATTTTATTGGTTTACCCATCATGTGAAGCCTGGATAGCATCCCACTACATCAAATAACACCAAAATATTTTACAAAAAATTGTGCATATTTTACATTATAAATCTAGATAACTGTCAGTGAGCACCACTATCCCCACCACCCTCTCCAAACCCCCAAAGCAAGTCTCTCTTACTTTGCTACGGAGGAGAAGTATGTCAATTATCCCAAGAGTTTTTCTTCCTCTACTGCTTTTGATGTTTGTTACAAAAAATTCAGGTAAAACTCAACTTATTTGCATTCAGAAGATTAAGTTTTAGATTTAGTATCCTTTGATAGTCTCATTTTGTTTTCTTAAGCTAAGGGTCTATCGGTCAAGTTGTCTCCGTGTGACCTATAGGTCAGGGGTTCGAGCCGTGAAATCAATCACTGATGCTTGCGTCAAGGTAGGCTGCCTACATCACACCCCTTTGGGTGCGGCCCTTCCACCGACCCTGCGTGAACGCGGGATTCTTTGTGCCCTAAGATGAGGGTCTATTGGAATCAACCTCTCTACCTCACACAAGGTAGAAGTAAAGTATGTGTACACGCTACCCTCCCTAGATCCCACCTGTGGTATCACACTGGGCATGTAATAGTTTGTTATTATTGATAGTCTCATTTTATTTTCGCCTTTTCTTTTATTTTCAAATATGGATGAAAATAGTGAATGGACAGCTAGAAGAATGGTGCATAGCAGATGAGCAAACACCAGACAATGAGTTGCAGGTGGCATTAGATTGGGCATGTGGAAAAGGGGGTGCAGATTGTAGCAAGATTCAAAAGGACCAAGTTTGCTATTACCCAAATACTGTGAAAGACCATGCTTCTTATGCCTTTAATAATTACTTTCAGAAGTATAAGAAGAAAGGTGGAAGTTGTTTCTTCAATAATGCTGCTATGATTACTCAAGTTGATCCTAGTAAGTATCTTAGTCCTTATTCTGTTTTCATTCCTTCTCTGCAAACGTAAAAAATATGCATAGCATCTTTTGCAGAGTTGCCTTTTATAAATTTAAAACAGTATATCTAAGAGGAATTCTTAGTTCAATATCCAAATACACCAATGACATCTAGTTTAGAATAAATTGAAAAAGCAAAGTAAAAGGAAAAACCTATCTTGTGTCTAAAGGAATGTCTAGGTCATGCTATCACATGAAAGCGTATCCAAAAGTAGAAGAGTCTGGGAAATCTCAGTAGCTCAGTTGGTTTGTCATGTGAGCTTTCACCTTGTTGGTGAGGAGTTTGATTCTCCGCCTTCTAATCCTCTCCCCCATTTCCCCTTCCCTTATGTATAAAAGGGCAGCCCGGTCACTAAGCTCCCGCTATCTGCGGGGTCCGGGGAAGAGCTGGACCATAAGGGTCTATTGTACGCAGTCATTTCTGGAAGAGGCTGTTTTCACTATATATAATTTTTTTTTTAAAAAAGACTCCAAGTCTCCAACCATGTTAAAGTTTAAAGAGAAAAAGAGACCATGAGCCCATGTGAAACCCTTTATGCTAAGCTCAGCATGGATCTGCATCATCTTATATACTATCCTGTGTTATTAGGTAACTTTACTTTTATTAGTAATTGCTTTTTATTTTTATTTTTTTCACTAATTCCATACTTGGTATAAAACCACATCAGCTAACTTTTACATTTTGTTTGGTTACAGGTTATAATTCTTGCCATTACGAGTATATGCCCTAGTGCTTATTGCTTTTCAATCTGTTAATGCCAAGTTGAGGTTCATCATTTAAGCCAAGAAAGATAGTCCCGGGCATTAACCAGCTGACTATATTCTGGATTTTGAGTAATTGGAATTCAATATGTTGTACCCATTTTTGCTACTGAAAGTCTGAGATATCAGCTGCTTGTCATGCAATAGTGACATGCACTAATTTATCATTATTTGGTGCTTCTTTACTCATACAATGCAATTTCAGCTTGTCCTTGTAAACAAACTAAAATTCATATTTAAAACAAAATACGAGTTAAATGAACTCAACTGTCATACCTCGGCTTAATTGACCCGGGTGACTCCGCTTGCTATACAGATAAAACTCAGGCTCATGCACCATTATAAATCAATATCAAAGCCTGAATTTATTGTTAACTTCGTATTAGGAAATTTCAAAATCAATTTTGGTGCTTAATACCAACATACATGAGCGAATAGTCTATATGAAGCATACAGTATATTGAACTTAATATCTCTTTTACACATTCAAGAACTGTCAAATGATGCTTACAGGAAATTTCCACCAGTTTCATTCCTGTTGATTGAAAGTGAAACAGGGAAGTGTCACGCGCAAGTCTGATTCACAACGCGCTCATTAAATCTGCAGTATCAATCAAGTTTAGTAACTTCAAGTTCGATGTGGTAAGTCTGGACATTCATTCTCCTAAAACAATAAACTTGCCCAAGCAGCAATAAACGCAAAGCCACCGAAGGGAGCTAAGGTTGAGTATTTCCTGTCTTCGAGAAGTGCAACTGCATAGCACCTGCAGACCAACCAGCATTTTAGTTTTGTCAAGAAACACTCAGTTACTAAAGTGAAGATGTATTGACCACCAAATGTTGAAAGTTTGTTTAAGATCACATATGATCCAAATACCTCATTCACAAGTAAATACATACTACAATATTTTATCAACATTCAGGTACCCCAAAAAAATAAATCTCATGAATAAAAATGGTGGATATGATCATTCAGGCACCATCAGTAGACCATGAACATTATGTTTTCATGTACATTTTCTACAAACCAAGTATTGCTAATTAACAGCAAACACCAAAGGATGCCAATTATGAGCAATCATTCAATCAACTACTCCTTCAATTCCAAACTAGTTGTGTTTGCTTTTAGATGGGAGATAGAAAAATAGAAGAGTAATGAACTAATTATAGAAATATCTCCCTCTATCTCTAAGGTTCACTAATTATTTGATGTCTTTTTGTATGTGTTGTGTTGAAGGAGGATGACTCAATGACTATTCGTTCGCCGGAACCAAAAGCAAAAATTAATCCTTTGTATTCATTCTGCTCTATTCAGGCAGAGTTCGTTCTGAAACTAAATAATTTTTCTTTTAAAACAAATTTTCTTTGAAACAAGAAATCTCTAAACCTCACATATCATACACGGGCATACGGTCTCTATCCTAAATAAGAAGATTCTAACTAAGATAATTATACTCTATCATTCCGTCTTCTATGACATTATTGTTACCATTTAGAGAGTCATATAAGCTTTCCTTTGACCAAGATTTGCTTAAACATTTTCAGAATACTTTAAAATTTTTAAAACTATGATCTATTATATTTCTTACTATATAGTTTTGAATTTTTTTCTTAAAACTCCATACTTTGTCCGAATTTAACCAGAGATTGGACAATTTGACTTTCATATGCCAAACCACCCTTCATTTGGTTAGGCGAGAGTACTTCAATTTGCATAACACTGCAAATTTCAGGGTGAATTTATTTAACTAGACTTCCACTCAATTTAGTGTCAATCATCTTACAAATTCAGGGGAGTCTTGGCGTAACTAGTAAAGTTGCTATCATGTGGTCACGGATTCGAGCCGTAGAAACAGCCTCTTGCAGAAATGCAGGGTAAGGCTGCGTACAATAGACCCTTGTGGTCCGGCCCTTCTCCGGACCCGCGCATAGCGGGAGCTTAGTGCACCGGGCTGCTATCTTACAAATTCGCATATAGATTTATTCACAGATACTCTCACCTAGATAAAACCTAGAAAAAGATCCTTTTGGCATTCGTATTATAGAAGTTGGACAATGTGACAAAATCAAACCACTGAACTAGAAGTCCTTACGTTCCAGAGAAAGCGATAATTCCACCAGTTAGCAGTCCTCCAAACTACAACCAAAATGAGGAAGAGGGAAAAAAAACAGATTATATCCATCACCCAGCAAAGTTGAAGGCTTTAAATAGGTCACAAAGATAAATATGCTGTTAGGAAACTCACAATGTTTGGATGTTTAGTGATAGGAGCAGAAACAAGGGCAGCAGTGTGAACCAAATGGTACAGTGATGCAGTATTCCACACCTTTAATTACCAATTGCAACAAAATAATCCAAAAATTAGAAAAAAAATTCCCTACACTAAATGATGGAAAAAAGAATTTTCATCTAAAAAAATTGGGAAAAAAGAGTAAAAAGAAAACAAGAACCTCTTTGTAAGTGGGATTTTTGGGCTTGAAGACATGAGCTCCATAAGTTCCTAACCCAAGAGCAGCTACACCTGTTTTCCACAGCTTACAATTTTCTAAGTTAAAAATTCTTTAAACCCAAAAAAGATTTTTCAAGATAGGAGCTATGACAAATGCAAAACATAAGAAATTGACATGGTGGAGTATCCAAAGAGAAGTAGTTTTACCAGAAATAGCAGCAACTTTGTGCCAGATTTGAGGATTCATTTTTGGTTTTTCTTTGTCACGCCAACTGGTTTTGATCTTCTCAACTTTCTTCAAGTTCGGTCGTCGTAGCATAAAGTCGTTGCCTCTATTGATTCCTCCCTTAATTCACATATCGCTAGCCCATTTTAGGAAGGTGTAATTCGTACTATGTACTACCAGCAATAAAATAAACCTATTTGACTATCTCCCAAATAAGTAATTATTGTAAGAGAAAAAGTATAGACTGTTATAAAATAAAGACTGTAAAGTAAAGATAAGTATAGAGAGAAACTGATATATTATTTAAATTTCAAACTTCTCTATATAATGAACTGAATTCTCCTCTATTTATAGAAGAAAGGAAGCTGCTGTGTAAGCTGCTACTGCAAACTATTGTGTAAGTTGCTACTGCAAGCTTCTGTGTAAGCTGCTTGTAAGCTTCTGTGTAAGCTGCTTGTAAGCTGCTGTGTAAGCTGCTTGTAAGCTGATGTGTAAGATATAGATAATCTTCTATCATTGGTAATATTTATCCATAGCGGAGTACCGAAAGGATAAGCTTCTTCAGGAGGCTTATTTCCAATAGAGTGCTAAATAGATAAACATATTTATGGCGGAGTCTCATATGGATAAACTTCTTCAGGAAGCTTATTTACAACGGAGTACTAAATGAACATCCATAATATAATATATTCATAACACTCCCCCTTGGATGTTCATTAAAAGATAATGTGCCTCGTTAAAACCTTACTAGGAAAAATTTCGTGGGAAAAAAATCCTAGTGAAGGAAAAAGAGTACACATATTTAGTAATACGCATTGCTAACTGCCTCATTAAAAACCTTATAAGGAAAACCATGTGGGAAAAAATATTAATAAGAAAAAAAGAGTACATCGCGTATTTTACTCCCCCTGATGAAAATCTTGTTTCAAATATTTAAGTCTCCGCATTCCAATCTTGTATACCATCTTCTCAAAAGTTGAAGTTGGTAAAGATTTGGTGAATAAATCTGCTGGATTGTCACTTGAACGGATTTGTTGCACATCAATGTCACCATTTTTCCGAAGATCGTGTGTGTAGAATAATTTTGGTGAAATGTGCTTCGTTCTATCTCCTTTTATAAATCCTCCCTTCAATTGGGCTATGCATGCAGCATTGTCTTCGTATAAAACTATGGGTCTTTTCTCACATTCCAAACCACATTTTTCTCGAATAAAATAAATTATTGATCTCAACCATACGCATTCCCTACTTGCTTCATGAATAGCTATTATTTCAGCATGATTTGAAGAAGTAGCAACAATAGATTATTTTGTGGAGCGCCATGATATGATAGTACCTCCACATGTAAACACGTATCCTGTTTGAGATCTAACTTTATGGGGATCAGATAAATAACCTGTATCTGCATAACCAACAAGATCTGCACTATCTTTGTTNTAACATTATATGCAAAAATATTATCCACTACTATTTCAGATCGATTTAAATTAATCTCATCACCAGTAGAACTTATTAAAAGTTCTTCGCTCACTTGAGTCTCGGGTTTATTGATTTCTTCAGGAATCTCATAACTAATCAGATCTTGGGTATCTTCAGGAGATCCCTTCATAATATCATTTTGATTATTTATCGATTTTCTTTTTCTAGGATTTCGATCCTTAGAACCCATAGGCCTACCACGCTTCAGGCGTGCTTTAGGTTCACTAGCTCTCATGCTAATAGATGGTCCTGCTGGGACATCAATTCGGATAGGCACATTCTCTGCAGGGATATGTGACTTAGTTATCCTTTTCAAATCAGTAAATGCGTCTGGCATTTGATTTGCTATATTCTGTAAATGGATGATCTTCTGGACCTCCTGATTACATATATGGGTACGTGGATCAAAGCGAGATAATGATGAAACTTTCCACACAATTTCTCTTTTGATTTCCTTTTTCTCTCCCCCTAATTGTGGGAAATTTGTTTCATCAAATCGACAATCTGCAAATCGAGCGGTAAATAAATCTCCCGTCAATGGTGCAAGATAGCGAATAATAGAGGGTGATTCAAACCCAATATATATTTCTAACCTTCTTTGGAGGCCCATCTTACTGCGCTGTGGTGGTGCTACTGGCACATATACAGCACATTCAAAAATTTGTAGATGGGCAATATTTGGTTCATGACCAAAAACTAATTGTGACGGAGAATATTTATTATAATGTGTTAGTCTGAGACGGATAAGGGATGCTGCATGCAAGATAGCATGGCCCCAAACAGTAGTGGGCAATTTTGTTTTCATAAATAGTGGTCTTGCTATCAATTACAGTCGTTTAATAAATGACTCTGCAAGGCCATTTTGAGTATGAACATAAGCTACCGGATGTTCAACTTTTATCCCAACTGATAGACAGTAATCATCAAAAGCTTGAGATGAGAATTCTCCAGCATTATCAAGGCGAATAGCCTTTATAGGATAATCTGGGAATTGTGCCCTTAATCAAATTATTTGGGCTAATAACTTTACAAACGCCAGGTTGCGAGATAATAATAGGCACACATGAGACCATCTTGAAGATGTATCTATTAGGACCATAAAATATCTAAACAACCCACTTGGTGGGTGAATAGATCCACATATATCCCCATGTATACGTTCTAAGAAGGTAGTGGACTCAATGCCAACCTTCATTGGTGATGGTCTAGTGATCATTTTGCCTTGATAACAAGCATCACAAGAAAATTCATTATTTGTAAGAATCTCCAAGTTCTTTAATGGATGCCCACTCAAATTTTTAGTAATTCGCCTCATCATTATTGATCCAGGATGGCCCAAACGGCCATGCCAAAGCACAAAAGTATTTGAATCAGTAAACTTCTGATTTACGATAGAGTGTGCTTCAACTGTACTAATCTTTGAATAATATAAGCCAGAAGATAAAGTCGGTAACTTTTCTACAATGCATTTCTGGCCAGAAATATTCTTTGTAATACAAAGATATTCCACATTTATTTCATCTATTGTCTCAATATGATACCTATTTCGGCGGATATCTATAAAACTCAATAAGTTTCTTCGGGACTTGGAGGAGTACAATGCATTGTCAATAATAAATTTTGTTCCCTTAGACAGAAATACAATAGCTCTTCCGGAGCCTTCAATCAAACTTATATTACCAGAAATTGTAGAAACATTTGCTTTTTCCTTATGCAAGTAAGAAAGTTATTTCTGATCTTTGAATATGGCATAAGTTGTTCCACTATCAACTATACAAATATCTTCATGATTGATATTTGATCCAAACATGATTTGAGGATTATCCATATTCTTCAGAATGACATAAACAAAATAAATATGATAGTAAACATTATAACTTTTATTTATGTACAACAATTACATAACTATACTATCTACTACAAATAACAAAAATTAAAATATTTATATCTCTACAGATTCACTACCAATCACATGACTTGTTTCTCCTTCTGGGAGTGCAAAGTAATCAGTTACATCCAAATGCATGAAGTCTAAATTATCTTCAGAAATAAAATTTGCTTCAGCATTTTTCTCTGTCTTCTTCAGGGAAGCTTGATATAGCTCAACCAGGTGCTTTGGCGTACGACATGTACGTGACCAGTGCCCTTTTCCTCCACATCTATAGCATGCATTTTCTGGCTTTGCTGCTTGCACCGCTTCATGCTTTTGTTCCTTCCTTTTCCACTGCTGGTGGTGAGGAGGGTTCTTTGGTGCATTATTATTACCACGATTAGAGTTTCCTCCCCGACCACGGCCATGACCACGACTGGGGCCACGTCCTCTTCCACGTTTAGCTTGGTGGAAGTTCGTCTCATTCACTTCAGGGAATGGACAAGAACCAGTAGGTCGGCTTTCATGGTTTTTCATTAATAGCCCATTATGTTGCTCGGCTACAAGAAGATGTGAGATAAGTTCAGAATACTTTTTAAATCCCATCTCTCGATATTGCTGCTGCAGGAGCATATTCGAGGCATGAAAAGTGGTGAAAGTTTTCTCCAACATATCATGATCAGTAATATTATCACCACATAGTTTCAATTGGGAAATAATTCTGAACATAGAAGAATTATACTTACTGATAGATTTAAAATTTTATAACCTTAGATGAGTCCAATCATAACGTGCATGTGGAAGAACGACCATCTTCAGGTGGTCATATCTATCTTTCAAATTACTCCACAGTATGACTGGATCTTTAACAGTAAGATATTCCATTTTCAGGCCCTCATCAAGGTGATGGCGTAGGAATATCATTGCTTTGGCACGGTCTTGGTTTGATGCCTGATTTTTATCTTTGATGGTGTCTGCCAGACCCATCGCATCAAGATGAATTTCGGCATCAAGCACCCAAGACATGTAGCTTTTGCCCGATATATCCAGGGCTACAAACTCAAGTTTAGAAAGATTTGACATTATTTAGAAAAAGAAAGTTCGTACCTCTGATACTTTCAAAGTATTTTCTCGAGATGGCAGAGTCTCGTGCTGATAACGTGTTATAAAATAAAGACTGTAAAGTAAAGACAAGTATAGAGAGAAACTGATATATTATTCAAACTTCAAACTTCTGTACATAATGAACTGAATTCTCCTCTATTTATAGAAGAAAGGAAGCTGCTGTGTAAGCTGCTACTGCAAGCTGTTGTGTAAGCTGCTGCTGCAAGCTGCTGTGTAAGCTGCTTGTAAGCTGCTGCTCTAAACTGTTGTGCCAGATATAGATAATCTTCTATCATGGGTAATATTTATCCATAACGGAGTACCGAAAGGATAAGCTTCTTCAGGAGGCTTATTTCCAATAGAGTACTAAATAGATAAGCATATTTATGGCGGAGTCTCATATGGATAAACTTCTTCAGGAAGCTTATTTACAACGGAGTACTAAATGAACATCCATAATATAATATATTCATAACATAAACCCTTTAGCTGATTATAAAAAGTCTTAATTGAATTAAAAATGCTTATAAGTAAAACTTTACAAGTTGAGAGTGACCGACTTATAATTTATGGTTGATTTTAACTTATAAACACTTGACTTATAAGCATTTTGGATATTTATATAAGCCAAAAGTTCACCTTATAAGTTTTGCCAAACACCCTTATAGTACCATCTTTTGGTTTTTCGAATTAGTAAGAATAAAATTTTCAGT